GTGTATGATGTATTGTATACAGTGTGTATGGTGTGATATTGTATACAGTGTGTATGATGTGATATTGTATACAGTGTTTGTGATATTGTATACAGTGTGTATGATGTGATATTGTATACAGTGTGTGTGATATTGTATACAGTGTGTATTATGTGATATTGTATACAGTTTGTATGATGTGATATTGTATACAGTGTGTATGATGTGATATTGTATACAGTGTGTATGGTGTGATATTGTATACAGTGTGTATGATGTGATATTGTATACAGTGTGTGTGTTATTGTATACAGTGTGTGTGATATTGTATACAGTGTGTATGGTGTGATATTGTATACAGTGTGTGTGATATTGTATACAGTGTGTATGATGTATTGTATAGAGTGTGTATGGTGTTATATTGTATACAGTCTGTATGATGTGATATTGTATACAGTGTGTGTGATATTGTATGCAGTGTGTATGATGTGACATTGTATACAGTGTGTATGGTGTGTTATTGTATACAGTGTGTGTGATATTGTATGCAGTGTGTATGATGTGATATTGTATACAGTGTGTGTGTGTTATTGTATACAGTGTGTATGATGTGATATTGTATACAGTGTGTATGGTGTGATATTGTATACAGTGTGTATGATGTATTGTATACAGTGTGTATGATGTATTGTATACAGTGTGTGTGATATTGTATACAGTGTGTGTGATATTGTATGCAGTGTGTATGGTGTGATATTGTATACAGTGTGTATGATGTATTGTATGCAGTGTGTATGATGTGATATTGTATACAGTGTGTATGATGTATTGTATACAGTGTGTATGATGTGATATTGTATACAGTGTGTGTGATATTGTATACAGTGTGTGTGGTGTGATATTGTATACAGTGTGTGTGTGTGTTATTGTATACAGTGTGTATGATGTGATATTGTATACAGTGTGTATGGTGTGATATTGTATACAGTGTGTATGATGTATATTGTATACAGTGTGTATGATGTGATATTGTATACAGTGTGTGTGTGTTATTGTATACAGTGTGTATGATGTGATATTGTATGCAGTGTGTATGATGTGATATTGTATACAGTGTTTGTGATATTGTATACAGTGTTTGTGATATTGTATACAGTGTGTATGATGTGATATTGTATACAGTGTGTGTGTGTTATTGTATACAGTGTGTATGATGTGATATTGTATGCAGTGTGTATGATGTGATATTGTATACAGTGTTTGTGATATTGTATACAGTGTTTGTGATATTGTATACAGTGTGTATGATGTGATATTGTATACAGTGTGTGTGTGTTATTGTATACAGTGTGTATGATGTGATATTGTATGCAGTGTGTATGATGTGATATTGTATGCAGTGTGTATGATGTATTGTATACAGTGTGTATGGTGTGATATTGTATACAGTGTGTGTGTGTTATTGTATACAGTGTGTATGATGTATTGTATACAGTGTGTATGATGTATTGTATACAGTGTGTATGGTGTGATATTGTATACAGGTTGTATGATGTGATATTGTATACAGTGTGCATGATGTGATATTGTATACAGGTTGTATGATGTGATATTGTATACAGTGTGTATGATGTGATATTGTATACAGTGTTTGTGATATTGTATACAGTGTGTATGAGGTGATATTGTATACAGTGTGTATGAGGTGATATTGTATATAGTGTGTATGATGTGATATTGTATACAGTGTTTGTGATATTGTATACAGTGTGTATGAGGTGATATTGTATATAGTGTGTATGATGTATTGTATACAGTGGATATGATGGGATTCATGTTTTGTGTGTGCTTTAAAATTAGATTAATGTGTGTGTGTGTGAATAAGACTTTGGTTGTTATATCTATTTAAAATTCAGTAAATATGTCTGAACCCTTCTTGTTTATATAGGAGTTCTGTTATCGGTATAATGTCATGCAGTCCATTCCCTAGCTTCATAGAAGGTCACAGACAAACAGAGAGATCACAGGCAAACAGAGAGATCACAGACAATCAGAGAGGTCACAGACAAACAGACATCTGTTTTCTTCTGATTCTAATAAGCTGGTGGAGGGGAACGTGGTGTGTCAGGTTAGATATGGTTTTCCGAGGATAGAATCCGATCTGGGGTTTGCAGACACAGCATGGTGACTTTCACGGCAACGCTTCCATTTTACCTTTGGAGAGATGAAACATAATGAACTGAGTAATAGATTGTAATATCACTTCTCCTGGCCTTGGCATATAATACTATTCATATCCATCAGTCCACGGTTTTCAGACCTATGTAAAGTGGTTTATTTTTCTGTGCAAAAGTTCCAACCAATTGGCTACAGCAGAGAACTTTCCACAGCGTCAGCCTACTCCCCCTCCCAGCGCAGGGATTATTAGAAGGCCGATGGGCAGGGCAGGAGGTGCAGCTCCATGTTAAGAAGCTAGACACAGGAAGGAAGCACATCTCAGCCTTGCCTGATACCTTTTCCTCCGCTCTTCTTGATGTTTTTCAGCTGGAGGAGGACAGACTCTCCCAGCATCCCATGCCGAGATACAGCCCCCTCCGGAGATTGGCATCCTCTGTCTTCTCATCCTCTACTCTGGAGACAGAACATTACCCTCATCCTGCCACCGGCACCTTCATCCAGCGCAGCCGCTCGGCAGAGAGCAGCCCTGTGCGCCTGCCCCACCGACGGCATCCGCCTCTGCCATCTGGCAACCACAGACTGATGCCCTCTGTTCTGCGCATCTCTCGTTCACAATTGCAGCAGGTGTGGGCACGCTTCACACACAAGACATAGTTGGGCACCGCCAACCGGTGGGGCCTGAATTGCAGAATTGGCTTGAAATTGGTGCCACACAATGAAGAATTTTGTAACAATGCAATACAACTGTGACACTTTCTGATAGATATTATGGTGCAGTATTAGCGCAAACCTCACAGAAACAGTGTCCACCACCTGAACTTGAATGCTCAGCACCTTTCACCTCATCCTACACTGGTCCAAACAGTGAATGCATGTACCAAATGCTGGCTTACTTCTGAATTGCCCCACACTGCAGAGCCTTCGTGTCCTCCTGCGCTGGGAGCGGGAACAATGTAAGAATTGGTGCACAGACCTCTGGATACACATTTATTCAATCAGATCAACTACTTTATCTCCCAGCTCGGGGGCCACAGAGGCTAACACCCCCTGTAGATATCCTTTTAGTACCAGCACAGAGGCCAAGACGTCCTCTCGACCATCACAATATGCGGATTTTTAGCAACCTCCTACCGAAGACCTGCATCTCATTATGCACTGGGTTGTCTTATTGGGTTTGTTTTTTGTTTTGTTTTTAACCAAAATTTCTAAACTGAAAACTCTCCAGAGGTATTGATGAACAGAGGGTTGCCTGCACATGATACATTTTCAAACATGCAATACTGCTTTAGCAAACAAAGAATCACACAGAAAACATTAGGAAATAATGCAAAAAATAAGTCTTCTTTCATTTCCTTGTCTCTGCGAGAACCCTTGCACCGTAACTGTCTCTAAGAGACCTCCTGCATCCTAGCTTTGTCTGAGAAACCCCCCTAAAGTGTGAACAGACAGTAAGATATAGTGTGAATGAGGGGGAGAGCGGCAAGCCAAATGACACAGAATGAGCTTGGGAAATGCATGACCCTCATCCTAACCCTCTCCCCAAACTTGCAGTGCCTCTCTGCTTAACCTGGCAATCCTTTCAGTGCTGGTGAGGTGAGTAGTGTATTGCACCCCGCTGGCACTGATACGGTTAAATGTGTAATGTGCTTTGATGCAAAACTTACTGCTGGCTCTTGTACAAATGAACATTTGTTATTGAAAATAACTTACCGCAGTATAAAGTAATGCTGAGTATTATTGTCTATACTAAGTAGCAAACACTGACATGCGCCGGCAGCTGGTACCATAAATGCTGTCTGTTTACAAGGCTACTGGACATGGCTCGTATTGGCACTGGGAACCAGACATAACTTGTAACGGACATGACCCGTACTGACACCGGGTACCAGACATGGCCGGTACTAGGACTGGACATGGCTCATGCTGGCACTGGGTACCAGACATGGCTCATACGGGCACTGGATGACGGACATAGTTCACACTGGCACTAGGTACTGTACATGGCTAGTACTGGCACTGGGTACTGGACATGGCTCATACTGGCACTGGATGCCGGACATGGCTCATATTGGCACTGGGTTCTGGACATGGCTCATACTGGCACTGGGTACCAGACATGGCTCATACTGGCACTGGATGCCGGACATAGTTTATTGGGCACTGGGTACTGGACATGGCTCGTACTAGCACTGGGTACTAGACATGGCTCATACTGGCACTGGGTACCGGAAGTGGTTCGTACTGGCACTGGGTACCGGACATGGCTAGTACTGGCACTGGGTACCGGACATGGCTAGTACTGGCACTGGGTACTGGACATGACTCGTACTGGCACTGGGTACTGGACATGGCTCGTACTGGCACTGGGTACTGGACATGGCTCGTACTGGTACTGGGTGCTTGAAGCCCTAATAGGATATTTTTATTAAATTTTAGCTTACTCGTGTTCACCATAATTGTGACTATACTTATTTATTATTTATTTTTCTGGAGTTGCAAATCAACCATTTGACAAACTATATCCAAAGATCAAAGAAATCAACAGTACTGTAATTTCTTTTTTTCATTATTCCATGCTGTCCTAACTCCTCCTATTACTCCATAAAACCCTCCCTCTAACCCCTCCTATTACTCCATATAACCCTCCCTCTAACCCCTCCTATTACTCCCTCTAACCCCTCCTATTACTCCATATAAACCTCCCTCTAACCCCTCCTATTACTCCATATAACCCTCCCTCTAACCCCTCCTATTACTCAATATAAACCTCCCTATAACTACTCCTATTACTCCATATAACCCTCCCTCTAACCCCTCCTATTACTCCACATAACCCTCCCTATAACTCCTCCTATTACTCCATATAACCCTCCCTCTAACCCCTCCTGTTACCCCACATAAACCTCCCTCTAACTCCTCCTATTACACCATATAACCCTCCCTCTAACCCCTCCTATTACTCCCTCTAACCCCTCCTATTACTCTATATAAACCTCCCTCTAACCCCTCCTATTACTCCCTCTAACCCCTCCTATTACTCCATATAACCCTCCCTCTAACCCCTCCTATTACTCCATATAACCCTCCCTCTAACCCCTCCTATTACTCCACATAACCCTCCCTCTAACCCCTCCTATTACTCCATATAACCCTCCCTCTAACCCCTCCTATTACTCCATATAAACCTCCCTCTAACCCCTCCTATTACTCCATATAACCCTCCCTCTAACCCCTCCTATTACTCCATATAAACCTCCCTCTAACCCCTCCTATTACTCCATATAACCCTCCCTCTAACCCCTCCTATTACTCCATATAACCCTCC